GGGCGCGTTATAATGTGACGGTCAATCCCACTATTCGTTGGTAAAAGAGTAACCCAAGAGTTGGCGGTGGGTGGTGATGACTAGCTGCCTTCCCTCTAGTCTTACACTGCTAAATTAGGGACGGCTAGCGCGAATAGCCCTCGTGTAGCTTTGCGCGAAATTCAAAACAAACAAAAACTACTTACTGAATATTTCGTTTTACACATATTTATACGGTATTCACGTTCTATTTACTACACGACTTTTCCAAGTCATAACATCATGCGCCCTCTAGTAAATACATAAAACAGAAAATAAAGCTTACAATAATATTTTCAAATTATGACATCGTTGAAATATGTTTTACAGTAGAGTGTATTACAATAATAAAACTTTCCTCCCATCTAAACTAAAGACTACCACATACGATTTGCTTGAAAAAAAATGTTTGAATTTATTATTTATGGATCCCTTAATTTATTATTTATGGATCCCTTAATTTATTATTTATTATTTATGGATCTATAAGTGGACCAAACATATTTATTCGCTTTAAGAAATGCACATTTACACTTCGAAATTTCCCAGAAACTTGATAACTTAAGCCTTTGCACAAAAATAGTCGATAATTTACATGTACATCTTTTTCATTTGAACTTGGAGTTTCAATTTTTTATTTTGTTTGGCAACTAAGCCTTTGGTCGTGTTTCGCTTGTTAGTTGGATACTCAACAATATTGCATGTAATCATGGCGTAACGAAAACAAAAACTGTCCCTTTGTGCTCATCAATATCAGACGTTGTTGCGACGCGCGTGATGCCGTTAGCAGACCGCACAGTGGATCGCAGTTCACTACTAAAATAATGATAAGAAAAAAATAATATACTTATATAAATATTTGCATCTTAGAAATATGTTTCTTTTTCTGGTTTTCTTGTAAAATTCATTTCTTTATTTTTGTGATTGGTCGTTAGCGAAACCACACAGCTACATTTTTGTTGCTATACATATGCAAGTTTTTATTATAATCAATATAACTTCCTATTTTAAATTATTACACTTTTGACGCATCGGGGTCTAACATATTTTGCATCTAATAAAGTATTCGTTGTAAAATAATATAAGTCATTAGCGTTTATGGTATTTCGGATAGTAATATCAATGAATTTGAAAAGTTTACAAGTTTTAAAGAGAAATAACATTTTATCCTTAACGTTTGTTTGTTTTTAAGCACAAAGCTACACAATGGGCTGTTTGTGCTGTGCCCACCGCGAGTATCGTAACTCGATTTTTAGCGTTATTTGCCGTCAGACTTACCGCTGAGCCATCAGGAGGATTATCCTAGACGTCATATAACATGTTTAGAAGTTGCTTTTCACTTATGAAAATCATTTTATTGAGATATTTGTGATATTAAAAAATATATTTTGCACCGTTTCTTACCAACCAATATTTCGACAAAGTGGTGACCGCCCAGTATTCCGAAGGCCCAATAGTCACAGATTTTTGCTTTTCTCAATATAAGTCAAAGTGTGAAAAAACAAATTCATAGGTCCATAATAGATGAATGCAATCTCAAATGATAAGTTTAAAGGATACATCTTGGAGGGGGTTCGGGGGACCAGCCGTCCCTGACGGCTTGCTCTAGTTTTAAATACAAACAACAGAAATATTTGAATCGACATTGTAGTGTACAGGTCATTGCGTTGGCTCGGTGTCAAGATAATTTTACTGACTGGGAGCTTTAATTAGTCGGGGATATAACATTCATTATCACAGTACTGTGGAATAAGAATCTTGAATGTTCATTCTCTCAGAAGAGTTAGATTCCCAAATCCAATCCTGATGTGTAAATATGCGGGCTCTGCAACTAACACTATACATGCATACAAGAAAATAACATTGAGGAAATGGTGATAAACATTATCCATCCATTCATGAGAAATTACAACTTATATCCTGGGTTTTAGTTATAAAATTTTACAAATTTAACCAAACAATTAATTTAAAATTTTAGCTCTTAAAAAAAAAAACAACAACAAAACAAATGAGATTTCGGACTAACAGATTGTCACCGACAATTGTTTGTTATGAACTTCGTACAAAGCTACACGAGGGATATCTGCGCTAGCCGTCCCTAATTTAGCAGTGTAAGACTAGAGGGAAGGCAGCTAGTCATCACTACCCACCGCCAACTTTTGGGCTACTCTTTTACCAACGGATAGTGGGATTGACCGTCACGGCTGAAAGAGTGAGCATGTTTGGTGTGACGGGGATTCGAACCGCAGATTGGGAGTCGAGCGCCCTAACCACCTGGCCATGCCGGGCCATCACCGACAAAGTTATCCTTTTTTTACAATTGACAATTGAAATACCATTATTCTAAATATTGCCATATAAATTTGGGGATTAATTATATTTTGCGAAAATATTGTATTTTTTGTGTTGTTTACATTGATATTTCAGATATAGATGTCAATGCGAATTGTTAGCAATCAAAAAGGGATTTTTTTCTTCTCACATTAAATTAGTTAAGTTTTATTAGCTTTTCCAAATGTGTGATAATAGTTTTGTGTTTAAAATGTTGCATAGTGCTTTGTAATGTGAAGTATAAATTTATTTGTTTGTTAAAGTTCGTGCAAAGCTACAGGAGAGCTATTTGCGCAAGCTGTCCCCAATTTTGAAGCTATAGACTAGAAGAAAGGCAGCTAGCCAATACCACCCATCGCCCAACTTTTGTCAGGCTGAATAGTAGGATTTCACCGACACTCTTATAACACACCCACGGCTCCAAAGTGAGGAGCCTGATTATTTTTTTTTGGCGGGGGGGGGGGTAGTTACAGAACGTGAACAACAGAATCTCAACTTCACAGTACACATGTCAGCTACTGAGCCGCACTCGGTCCTTTATAGTGTAAATAGACAAAGTTTAATTGGTCCAATCACGTACATGATCTAACATTTTGTGAAACAAACTGTAGGTTGTATCACGCAGATAGATTTTACAGCGGTCAGTGTTTGCAGGGTGTGGATTAGTCCAGTGAAGTGTAGACTGAAGTTAACACTGCTGTTTGCTGTAAGGAGAGAATGAAGTGGAACAGTCTCAAATAGGAAGTTGGATAAAAACGAAACCCTAAAATGTCAGTTAAGGATAAAAGCAATGGCGAAGATAATTGACTGTGAAGCTTGTGGAGTAATGAGCCAATTCTTTAATACTCCAATAACAATGAATTTTTTGAATCCACAAAAAGCACATTGTATCATGCATTTATTATCATATTTTCATTATTTCTTACTAAGAGAACCTTTAGTTGAAACTTTAAAAAAAATCACCATATTCGTCTAACTTACTTTATTTATTTTATTTTATTTAATTAAAGTAAAGTAAATAAAATAAAGTTAAAGTTAAGTAAGTAATAAGTAGTAGTTTAGTTTTAGT